CCGGGTTTACGGTGTGCTCAGCGGTCCTTCGAGTTTTTCTCTTTGACACCAGTTTTTTCCAGCGGCATGACTGCTTCAGCGCCACCTTTGCTTTCCCAAATTACTGTCTTGCACCGGTTTCACATTTTCAGCTTGCTCAAATCAACAACCGGTGATCCACTCCCACGATCCAGTGATCCTTCGCTCAGCCACCATGGACCCGCAGTGGCAGCAATACTACTGGAATCATTATTTGATGCAGCAACATCATCAGCAGCTCAACAACCCAGATACCACAACTTCTCCTCCTACCACTGCCCACCACACATACAGCCCCACCGGCACCTACGGCCCACTCACTCACGCACTTCGCACACACCACGTCCACCACTCCAACCCTTATGTGACTCCACCGTATACACCGCCATCGCAGCAAACACCCCCATCCCAAGCATCCAACTCCCAGCCAGATTTTCCACCTCCGCCGCCGCCACCCCTGCCCACGGCCGAGCCTGTCACTCCACCACCATCGACCTTCAAACACAGCCCCCCGCCACCACCTACAACGCGTGGCACCGCCACGCACGCCCCACCGCCGCCGCCCCCCCACATCCCATCACCCACACCACCGGTTCCTGATTCCTGGAACCCCACCGAGCAACATTGGGATTCCAACACCCTGCACGGCCACCAACTACATCGTACGATCCAACCCACCCAGTGGTCTCGCAAAGCAGGAGTGGCCGGCCTCCCCACATTTGAGGTCTTCCCGTGGCAATTGGCCTACCACGGTACCTCTGAGTTCACCGCCCGCACCCTGAGCAACGGCAAATTCACAGGTTTCATTGCCACCAGAAGCATAGCGGAGTCGGTCTTCGTAACCCTTTTTCTCCAACAACTCCGCGAACACCGCCTTGACCTTGACGGCATCGCGGAGGCTCTTCACAGACAACAGAGCACAGACATACCCAACAAAACTACCCACGCTCGAGCTTTTCACGCTCCCCTCATCAAACTGCTTATCGACCAACTGCAAACCCACTCCCCCGCACCTGCGGAAGGCTCCGCCCTACGCGCCCTCAAGACCACCAACGACGAACTGGCTCGCGCACGTCAGAAACTCCAAGACCTGGGCAACCCACTCACACCAGTCAAGAACACCAGCCGATCTTCCACACCAGCCGCCCCTTCCCACGCACCCACGCCACCACCACCGAAGCCACCAGCCATCACCGACGTCTTGCAACCGCCACACCCCACTCTGCAAGACGACATCCCCGAAGGCTGGAACTACCCAGAGATCCAACAATGGGTCACTACTTTCGACCCCACCATTCAAGAAGCTGCGACAGACATTATCCGACTGCTGCAAACCAGCAAGGTCACCACGCAGCAGCTAAAAGAGGCAGCCGCCAAATATGGCCTACCCCTCAACCGAGTCAATCGACTCCCCATCCGCAGCCTCCAACAGCTGGTGGGAGTAGGAGCAGCCATTGGTTGCTGACTCGCAATCGTGGCCCAGCAGCAACCCAGCCACACCAACCTCACCCAACTCTTCCACCTGCACCGCACACTTTCCATCCTCATCCACCGCACCCAATACATTGACCGTGCCGAGGCTATCTTTGCAACCGGCCTCATCCATATCACACTACTTTTCGCATATCCCTCCAACACCCATCGCTCACAACAATGGCGCAATCGCCTCCGCCAACTACACATTTTACCACACACCTACCACTACCACAACTTTCTCTCTTCCAATTCCGTCTACATCAAGCTCCACTTCAATCCCGACCAACCCCAACGCTGCTACCACCAACACGGCCACTTCTACGTTGGCTCCACAGCCATCGGCATCCCCCACCGTGAACACAATCGCCGTGCCAAACTCAAACAACTTCAGAACAACATCCCCATTTCAGCAGAACTCTCTTTACGTTATTGGCATTCCCACAACAACATTCACCACTACACCACTATCCAACTCACCTCCCATGATACTTACGACCAAGCCTGGATTCAAGAGCACCACTACATCGCCAACTGGATGCCTTCACTCAACTGGCCTTTCATTTCCCACCACCTTAAACTCAAAGCTCAGGGATGGCAGTTTGCGAAGCACAGAGCCCACTTCTACTCCAGACTAGCCACTCACAAACGACTTTTCCGACGCCTTCGCCAACGCCAGTACACCCTCAGAGAACCACACCTTTACACTTCCACGAAGCATCACGCCCTCCAAATCTTCCGCAACCTCACCAAACACACCGCAGCCTCTTTTGAGGCAGCCAAGCAGCTCAGAAGCGGCCGCCGCACAGACCTCGAGGTGTACGCAATACGGCGCATGGCCGCGAATTTGGAAGAACCTGGCCGCAGCCGCGCTCTCCACATTCTCAACAAAGCCTTGATCTACCGCAACCTCACCCCACCAAAGCCAAACATCCCATTGACAGTGCCCTTCTTGGCCCATGACGACTTTCCCAAGCACTGCCAACAATGGCTTCGCACCACCATCCAGCAACACAAGCAATTTACCATACCCCTCCACCTCCCCTCACACCGGCTGAGGGAGGCCGCCCACAAAACCCTGCGCTCCCACCTACACAATCACCGCACATGGGAGGACACCCTCCACTCCCCGCCAGATCCCGCCGACCTCCCCTGTGCATGCGATCACCTTCGCACCCTCCTGCAGGATCCAGAGACCCCTACCGTCGATGGCCATTACATCCTCACACTTGATCAACTCCAACTCCCTACGCACCTCAGCATTTTCCTCAATGCCAACATGAACAGCACCTATTACCCAAGCAAGGCTCGTTATTTCCTCCTTTTCAAGACGGCATATACCAAATGGCTCAAACTACAGGGGCTCCCACCATCCCTAGTTCAACACCTACAACCTTTCCTTGAACACCAATGGCGCCTCCACAACACACACCTCAAACAACAACCCCGATTTACCGCTCGCCTACTTCGCCAGCTCCAAGAACATTTGGGCAAACACACATTGCTCCACCATGCCGACCACGAGCTCCAACAACTCCGGTTGTTTTGCCCTCGCCAATATTTCACCGGCGCCTTGAACACCTGGCAATCCCCTGAACTTTTCGAACCACTTCCCTACATCACTGCTGCCAACATCCACGACCACCTGGCCGCCACTGTCCCCCCCATCCTGCGTACTCGCTACAAGTGGGGCTTTCGCAAAGACTTCAACATCCCCTACGGGGTTGTCCACCTCAAGGCGAAGAAGCGCTGGCAAAAAGGCCGTACAATCATCTCATACTTCCAATCACTCAGTGGCAACCTGCTACGCATCACCAGCCGCGCCCTTGACATCATCCTCCAACACCTCTACCCTCAACATCCAGGCCAAATGTCCATTCCCCAGCTTTGGCACCACTTTCACAGTTACCTCACTCAAACCCCACCAGACATCTCACTACATGCCACCAACGACGACCTGGTTGGCTTTTTCAACTCCGTTCCCCAGCACCGACTCATCGACGCAGTTCATTCCCTCGTCCATCACTGGCAGCGACAGCAATCCACACACACCCTAACGGTGGATGTCCAGGCCACTGGCAATCCCTTCCACCACTCACACATTGGCCGACACCATCAGAAACACCCCACCCAACGCACCATCCAGACTTCCGACATTACCACCATTGTGGCTTTTGCCCTCGACACCTGCATTTTCCGGGCTTGCAACAACACTTACAAACAAATCCGAGGGGCCGGGATTGGATCCCAGCTCTCTCCAGCCCTATGCAACGTTGCCATCACCCTCATTGAGCATTCCTGGCATCAGATCCACAACAACCTACTTCAACATACAGACCTCCACTTTACTTACTATCGCTATGTCGACAACCGCTTCATTGTCCACAACGAACATTTCCTTCAACACCCGGCTATCCAAACCCTCATCCACCACAATTTCTTTGGCGACCCAGTGGAACTCGAGCCGGTGGAGGACTTTCATCTCCTCGGTTTCAACATCGACCTCCCACAACGCACCATCACCTACATGCAACCTTCACAACCCTGGAAAATCCGGGACTCCACCACTGCCGGGAGCCGGCGCTTGGCTCTATCAGGCCTCCAATCACGACTTCACACTATTCGAAAATACACATTTCCACCCTCCAGCGCTGACCTTGCTGCGGCTGAACTCGTGAACCTATATGTCCGAAAGGGGCATGATTACCACGCCTGCCACCGGTTTTTGAAAAAAGCGCCGAATGCGGCGATCTGTGTGTGTCCCACCCTGGACAAAGGGTTTTCCACCACCATCCTTCCACAAGCAGGGGGCCAGCGGCCGACAAGCAAACGCTGGCTAACAAAGCTATGCTTGCTCGGTGGATGCGGTCAGAGACGTCTGACCGTGTACCTGCTAAAAAACTGTTGACCACGCTGTCTAATTTGATTTGTTTGCTTCCATGGTGTTTCATGTTTTCTCCCCCAAACCCGCGGATTTCCTTGCAGTGCAGCTTCGCAGCTGAGCCGCGCCGACCGATTTGCCGCAGTCACGCAGGAAAACTTTTTGTTAAAACATCTACAATTGCGCTGACTTTTCACCTTACCGTTTGAGCCTTTCTTACCCTCGGGAGATTGCATTAACTGAAAATCCAAGTTCGAAGTGTGAAGATGTTGACCTTGTCCAATCTGGCAACCCTTTCAGCACTTCAGAGTCGCACTGTCTGGTTACTAACTGCAACCCACCCCACCCCATCCCCCCCACCCCACCCCATCCTTCATCCTTAAACCCTCCCCATCTGTGTCTGTGTGTGTGTGTTCTAAAGTGAACCAACAAATCAGGTGCGTTGTGTTCCAAAGTGATCTCGCTTTTTGCTAACCCTTCCATGTTTTTGTGTGCTTTGTGTTCCAAAGTGACCCATGTTTTGTGTTCCAAAGCGAACTAAAACCCTGTGTTCCAAAGTGAACTAAAACGTGTGTTCTGAAGTGACCCCGCTTCCAGCTGGAGTGGGATGTGGAAGAGTCGTGCCCGCAGGGTGCAGTGGGAAGTGAGTTCAAGATCGATGCGTTTCAGCACTCAGCACAGGACAGTTTGCACAAGAATCGCCTCTCTGAAGAAATTACAAAAAAGAGATAGACAAAGTTCTCAGGGTTTAAGGGGCCCTTACTCTTACCTTGGCTTTCATGTTTACTGTACTTGAAAAACATGTTCGCAAACTCTTACTCTTTAGGTAGTGTTAGGGTCAGAATCGGTCAGAATGCGCTGTTCTTCCATGCACCGATGGGTCAACCTGGCATCCTGGAGAAAATGGTATGTAGCTGCTCACGTTTCCTCTTTCCCTTGAAACAAAAAGCAACATGACATAGTCTTTTCCAAGTGCAGCACATTCTCTTGTTCACGTCCTGCTATGTCCTTGTATGTTCTTTATCGACATCACTTGATTATTTGTTTTCTTCGCATCGCATACGGTGCGCTGAAATCGAGATCAGGTCCTATTTATCACCAAATGTGAGCATTGCTGAAAGCCTTGAGCATGCCACCAAGGCGCGGCACTCAAGATCAGCACGCATATTGATATTATTCTGTTCTTTGGCACATTGATCAGCAAGACCTCAGCCTTAAGGGCCGGTTTCTAAAAGTAGTTCTCCCTACATCAAGCAATCTTGTTTGTTGCTCTCGTTTCCGATGTAACAAAGGATGTAGTCATCCTTGTCTTTGCGATGTTTCGCTTGTCTTGAGGTCTACAAGGTGAGCATCCTTGCCTCGCAGGACCATGTCTCACTCTGCTCAAAGGCTCCGTTGCGCAGCCTGAAATTGACGTTATTCCAGTGGCCTCTTTCTTTTAGTAGCCCGGGAGGGTAGGCCGCCAGGAGGTTAGATAGGTAGTAGCTAGGGAGTCGCTAGTAGCTTAAGTAGCTACTACTTAGGACGCATAATAGCTCACGCACTATTCATTTGGTTCCTAGATTCTTGGGGAAACTTTAAATGTGTTCAGGCACTAGCACAACTTTCATACATGGTGAAGCAGACTGTACAAACGCTGTGAAAAAGCTGTGGTACCATCCAATGCACAAACTGTGAGAAGGCCAGTTCAAGTTTGCACTAGTTTAATCCAAACGGTCTATCTGGTGTTGCATAATACCTGATCAGCATGTTGTCGCTGAGAGGCTTTAGCCAGACAGTGCCGCCTGATAGACAAGGCTTGGTTCAGGTATAGGCGGCTTCACTTGAGAAGGTTCTTGGGAAGTTTCGTCATGGAAGTTGATATGTTTATATAGTGTGTGTGTGTGTGCGTTTTTCTTGCAACTTGCTTCTGTTAGTGCAGCCCTTTGGACACCTCTCCAGGTGACAATGAAGGGCTCCAAACTGCCTTTGAGCCTGTATGTTTATGATGTGGCCAGCTGCTCAGAGCATGGGGCTTCCCCCCTTGACAGCAGAACAAACCACCTTTGATGCCAATATTTTGCATTGCAGTCTTGTAAAAGATCTCCAAGGAAACTGAGCGTGTTCGAGTTCGGGAGTACAGGCCAAGAGTTCCAGTGTTCTGCAGACATCAAACTGCGAAATGAAATCATGACTTAAGAAGCAACTGAAGGTAAACATACACATGTAATGTATATAGACATATAATGTGACTACATTTGGTTGTTAGGTTCCTAATGCTACCACCCCTTGGTCCCCACAAAGGTCGCACCACACAGGGTGCCAAATGAGTGCAGAGAGGGTGTGATTTTCCTCCTCCGTTTTTCCATGACTCATCCAACCACGTTATCCGTTATCAAGTCATACCTTTCAACATGATCAAGCCAGTCTAGAAGGCAGGATATGGCTCATGTTGAGAGCTTGAGTGTTTGCTGCAACATGTCCCTTTGGTTGAAGTGTCTAGCTTGTCAGCACAAGCAGTGACCAGATTGCAAAGTCTCAGTGGAAAGTGTTGGAATGAAGCTGAGACGCCCAAGCGTTAGACTCGTTTCGACTGCGTTCGACTGCGTTCGACGCCAGTGATAGCTTGGAATGGAATGTGCGAAAGCGCTTCAAAGCTCGGCAGCTCTTCGAGGCGACGGTGGCGCTGGAATGTTCGAAGAAAGACCATCGTTCAAACGAGAGGATTCGACGCACTGTGCCACTTGCAATTCTCGCCAATCCGCAGGTAGACAAGACTCGAAAATGGGCCGCTGATGTCAATATCGTGGGCCTGGCTGTCTTGGGTTCCTCGCTTCCGCCCGTTTACAAGGCCGGCTTGGCCAAGTCTCACAACCTCACACCGCTAAACTTGTAGGCCTGTTGAACAAGAACAGCAGCCTGGGCGGACAGGCTGCTTGGCTGTTGTCACAGGTGTAGGACAACCAGGTGCAGTGATTCATCCAACATGCACCCACTGACAATAAGCTCCCAACACAGTTTGACTGTTGTCCCCTTTCCCGTCCAACATAGGCAGCTGGAACCACGGAGAAACTTACAAAGGTCCCTGTCCCGCAAATAATGCACAAAAGAGATCAGTTTTTGTTTGGCGCTTGCACCTCCGTTCCGTCTCATCCATTCAGCGAAAGTTCTTGTCCGTCAGTTTCCGATGGGATTTTGTTTTGCCCATTGATCAGTCCATCCCTTCTTCCATCTCTTCATAGAACACGTTCAGAGCTGGATGTGAATTTACACAGAAGAAGGCAATCCCACTTGAAAAGGATGTTGTGTTCTGCAGTTGTTGTTGCTGTTGTTGTTTGCTTCGCTCTCGAGCATAGTTTGTTGGAATCCTTTCTTTAGCGAATTCTGACACTGTCAAAGAGCGCCCGTTGCAGAGCGCTGTTTCTATGTTTGTTGTATGCTCAAGTGAGCAGACTGCAGGAACCAGTTCTAGTTTGTTGGTTTTAACCTTCAGTATGTTTAATGTTTGGTGATATGTGTGATGCTTCTCGGGTGGACAGTCGAAGACTGTACACTGTAGACTCGGTCGAAGGCAGTGACGGCCGAACGGCCAGGTCGAAGACTTCGTCACGCAGAGCGATGACGTCAAAGTGATGCGTAAAGTTTATACCACAGATTTCCAGCAGTTGTTCAACATGGGGTGCGCCAACATATGTTCGTAGTTTAAAGGGAGATGCCTACGCTAGATTTGCTGTGGAGTTGTTGTTCGGAATGCCTGGTTTTTGGTTCTCGTTCGCTCCAATCCCACCTCTGACCTCGAGGTACCAAAACTACGCCGAAGGCGAATGGCGGGTAGCTCGCAGACTCTTGAAGGCACGTTGTCAACTCGTTGCGCACTGCAAACTCGTAGCCAAGTGTTGCACTCTTGTAAAAGCACTCAGGCTACGCAGGGCATGCTTGGCTTCCAGGTTTGGGTCTCAGTCTTCACGCAGATTTGTGTGACCAAACGGAATGATATTGAAGTTCACATTTCAGGATGGTCCCAGCACTGCAATATTGAATTTCATGGAGTCCTATCACTTCGAGGCTTTGTTTTCAGATTCACAGAATGCTCATCGCCTCTCAGCATTTTGGCTGGATCAGGCTCCTCCCAAATGGCTCGGTGTGAGAGAGATCCTGGTGTGCTGTGCCCAGTGAACAGCATAATGAGCAGGATAGTATTTATATACAATTGTATATGTATGTGTATTATTTTTCATGCATGGAAGACGATGTTCGCTTCATTTAACTTCAAACAAGCTAGACCTAGACGGCCTTGAGCTGTCTTTCTATGTCCTTCTTACATGGCTCTTTGTAAGCTCTATGGCTTAATGAGCACTTCAACATACGCCAAGCGTCCAAACCACAAGTGGTTCCTGATTGACTGATGCATGGAGCACGCAATTTGGAATTCCATTGAATCATTGAAGTGTTTCTTGTCAAGGCATTGAAGCATCCTGCGCGATGAATTTCTTCCTCGGGAAATAAGACATTCTTATTCTATCAGCTCGCCCTGCCACATCCGGCAATCTCGGAGTGGGTTGCTGCATGGTCTTCAAATCAAAGACTACATTCCACATACAGACGACACACTGGCCGATCGGCATTTTCACAGGGCGACTGTTGATCATTCTCGCGCTATTGTGCATCGTGAAACGATCCCACACACGCGAGAGACAGTTTCACATCAGGACCAAGTTGAGATGATTGCGCTTGGCCATTAGACAAAGTCGACACTCTTGTCAACTGGAACTGTTTCGATAGGAATGGGAGGGTTCCTTTGACTTGAGCATTTGTCATCTAGCCACAGCTACTGTGTTGTATATTGGCTTCAGCAATTTGGGGATGAAGACCAGAGTATGAGGTGTGAGATCGGCCACTGTGAAAGATGGCTAGCTGTGTTTGGCAATTCTTGGGGTGATAGTTTGCTCCGACCAGTCCGTGGATGTTCCTTCAGGAGTAAGACTTGTACAACATTGTACAAACCTTTCCAGGGCTGCCATTTGTCAGAGGCGCTAGCGTAGCAATGCTGCAATATGGTGCAAGCAGTTCGTGAAAGGTGGTGACTCAAGGCCTGAAGCATTTGCAATGGCGGAGAGATTTCATGCCCTGGTATGCTAGTCAATACCGGATGATGGTATGCAGAGCTGTAAGATCATGTCAAATTCCCCTGAGAGGAATGGGGAATGATAAACAACGATGTGGGTTGTCCAAAGGCCTGCAACAATTCATGCAGGAAACTCAACTTCCTGATTCATTGTCATGGGTGTCGTGGAGACTGTTGATTACCTCGATTCTTTCCAATAGATCCATTAGTGTCTTTTTTAAAATGCTGTCTCATTCTATTCCAGCACTCTCCTGTCAAAACAGTATCGAAGAGACATTTCCAAGTTACGGAGAGTTGTGAACAGGTTTGAATCCTTTGACAGTCGTGAGGAGAGTTCTGTTCCCCAATTTCATGACTTGAACATGCCGACAAGCGCCGCCCTCTGTCGAGCAAGTGTTTGCCACCGTCCCACGTTCAAATCACCCCATTGCACTTTACTGCGATACACTTGACAAATCCCAACACTGCACTTCGCTACAAGTCACCACACCACATCACATGGCGCATCACAAGACATTGCAACACCCGGCCACCTCATTGATTTTTTACCCGCTGACCCTTCCGGGATTTGCTTGGTACAGGTCCTGGGTCATGTTCTTCGATGCGAGGTTTCACGTGAATTCATTTCTTGGTCTCAATGCTCTTCAGACAACTCAGCTGGCTCTTCGAAGCTTTACGTCAGCCTTTGCTCCGGACTTGCTACCCGGTCGAAATGATGCCGTTTCTTGCACAGTGTCCCTTACATGCTCAGTGATGCGGTGAGGTCAAGTTGTGCTCAAGTGTGGGATTGTCTACTGAGCAGGTCTTTGGAATAAAGTGTACTGCAGAAGAAGGCACTGCCTCAATCATCAAAAGAAAACATTTGGATGAGATGTGTCGGCTCAGCCTCATCGGCCTCTTGGTGCTTTGGTTTCATGCGCTTTTTGTTGTTGCTTCGATGGTTTTCACAAATCAACCGATGTTCTTTCAAGTTATCACGATAGCCAGCTGATAGGCAAGGCTTGAGTTTTTAGGGTGAACGAATGCAAGTGATGTAAATGACACCATGTGCATCATTAGCATCATGAAGGGGTCTGGAGACAATTTTTCTAGTCCTGAGCAGGGCATAGGGACTGTGTAGCTCTGATCATACCAAGAAGGACCAAGCAACAAAGAGTGAACGCTCTGGGAGCGAACGATGTGAGTATGTCCAGTTTGGCGAGGTAGAGGCTTGGGGATAAGAGCGCCGCAAGAGGAGAAGCAAGAAAGCTGCAAGCGTTCAACACTTCATGCTGCGCTCCGATCTTGATCTCAGTCGCAGTAGACTACAAGCCACATGAAACTACAAGCTTTCAACTATAGGTGCTCTGCTATTTTTTCCTCCCAGCCCTGCCCTCTATAGGGCTTCGCATTGATGCACGATACCCCAAGCACACTTCAACCCAACCACAAAAACCACTTCGGGCATCATTCTCCTGGTGTTCACTGACATATTTTTTTTGCATGGATTCTCAGATAGAACACCAAGAAGGGACGCTCCAGAAGGCGCCGCACCAAGCAAATCAAGAATGCTAAGAACGTTCAACACTTCATGCTGTGCTCCGATCTTCATCTAGGTCGCAGTGATACCAGCTCCACGAAAACTACAACCATTCAAGAATGAGTGCTCTCCTCCTTTTTTTCTCCCAGCCCTGCTCTGGATAACCACCTTTCGGGCATCCTTCTCCTGGTCTTCACTGACGTTTATCTTTACACGGATTCTCAAATAGACCACCAAACAGGGACGCTCCAGAGAGCACCGCACCAAGAAAATCGAGAAAGCCTCACCATTCAACATTTCATGCTGTGCTCCGATCTTGATCTACTCCACGTTGATACAAGCTCCACGAAAGCTACAGGCATTCAACAATAAGTACTCCGCTATTTCTCCTCCCAGTCTTGCACTACCATATTGGTCTCTCGCTGGCTTTCGTCCTCTCTTTTCTCAGGCTTCGATGATTCGACCGGACTTTTCTGACACCTCATCTCCTTTTTTCATGCCGGGGCTTGCATGCCCAGCCACCGGCCACCGGATCGTGTTTACGGTTTATGTGTCGTTTAACTGTCTCGTCAAGTGTTGAGCTTGAGGGATTGAAACGCTTCAAAAGTGCATGTATTTTCGTCTCATCCTGTCATACCGCAAGCAGTTTGCGTCAGATGGGCTCACTCTTTTGGGAGATGAGTATGAGCCATTTTTAGTCAGTGAAGGAGTCTATATGACAATGGAACTGATGATGTTGTGTAGGTTCCTTTGTTTGGGGGAGGGTTGCGTAGGCATTGGCGTGGGCACACATAATTTTGTTTCGCATAGGCAGACGGATTGGTATGTGATCCACATTGGAAAGTATCCGAATTGTTTCCAACCGATGTAGATGAACCGCACAGTTTGCTTTATTTGCGCAGGTGAAGCACCGCACAGACTTTCAACCACTTGCAACCAGCACTTGGAGTGGCCGATGGCTCGGCATGAAAGCCCGTTGGCTTGACAGTTGGGACCTGTGTTTTCCTTTCACAAGCTGCCCGAGGACAGAAACACACGAGTGTTTGATTTGGACATTGACAACCTGAGTCTTGATTTGGGCAACTAAATACCTCCCAATGCCGAGATGTTTTGACTAGCGACTAGCGAGTCCACATAATATCGCGTAACCGTCATAACCCCGACTGAGCACCAAGAGCTGGAAGATAGAAAGGACAGAAAGGTTGAATTTGCGAAGAGATTGCATCCTGTGTTGTCGTCGCTAGTTTTGTTGTTTGTTAAAGTGAAAGGGACAAATGGTCTATGATGTTTCTTTTTCATCAAACGTCAAATAAAGTCGAAGAAGGTCGTAGTTTTCGCGGCCAAGGTCGAAGGAACAAAGGCGGCTTCGTCGCGTTTGGTGGCAAATGGGAAACTGAGGCCTTCTTTGGACATGTGAAAGCCAGCAGAGTGAGTAGAGCAGATGAGAAAACAGAGTGAAGTTTGAGTGAACCATTCATCATCCGATTTGCCTCAAGATACCTGTTCTTTACTCTTTGTTTCTGGAAGTTAAGGCTTCATCCGAGAGCCATGGCGCTGAAACTGGCATGTTCCATGGTTCTTGTGTTTGTCTCCTTGGCCAATGATGGTGAGTTCATGGCCGGCGATGATGAGTGTAACAGCGCAGAGTCCGAAGCTTGCACCTTGAGCACCTTGCAATTGAAGCGACAGCAAGTGCAGCAAGAAGAGGGCTGCCACGATATCAGAGAAGGTGAAGGTGGTCCTTGTTGGGAAGCCATCATGTGGGCCAAGAATGCGGGCATGCCCAATCATCCCAACTGGTATCCGGGGATGACCGAAGACTCTCCATTGTCTGCATTTCAATTTGTCTCCTGGAACACCACACATCCCAAGTGCCCCAGGCCTTGCAATGTGCCAGCGCCAGGCACCTGGTGTCGCAATGCTCAACCTCCCGCCTTGTGGCGCCCGGCTGCAGGACCCAGCATCAACATCAAGGTTGGTTGGTGTCATGTGATGTCATCATTGTATCATATTGATTCATGCAGCGTCTATTGTTTCCGGTGATTGTTTATTTTAACCTCCAGAGTGGAGATGATAATCCAAACTGACTTTTTGGGGTGATGAGTGGCGAAAGAAACATCAACCTCTGGACCAGAGGCGCTGTCCTACAACCTCTTCTGGTGGCATTTGTTCAAGGTCGAGTGTGGCCGGGGCGGCAGCGCCGGACATTTGATCCGAAGCACCTCGCAACCTCCATACGACGTCATGGGGTTCCAGGAATGTGAAGACCCTGAACGGGTGCTGGGGCCAGCGGGCCTCCTGCAGGAGTACGAAATCTTCCAAGGAAACCATGCCATTTGTATGGCATATCGGAAGGACACGTGGGCCTTGATGATCAAAGGCGAGACGGATGTAGCTGAGGACATGCGCACAGAGTACTACGGCACTCGCGGGACGCAGTGGATGCGCCTGCAACACAAGGCCAGTGAGTAAGCCATGAGCACAGTGCGCACAACAAATGTTGCAAAATTATTGATCTATCAGAATCATGGCTTTCTATAGGTAAGTTGCTTGGAATTTCTTGAAGTGTCCATCAATTCACCCCAAAACAGAATCTTCAAATCCGTTCACGAGGCCAGTGGGCGGCATTTGTTCTTTGTGAATCATCACGGACCGTTGTCAGTCAACTCTGGTGGTCTTTGTGGTGGTGAAGCTACTGCCTACAACATCCTACAGATCATGGCCAAGAATGCCCAAGTGGGCGATGTCCTGATGTTGGTAGGAGACTTCAATGCCAATGCAGCCTCGAGAACACTTCAGTCCCTCTGGGGCCATCTCACTCCTGTGTACAACTCCAAATCCTTTGGCGGGGTGGACAACATCCTGGCCAATGTTGGAAAGTCAGATGTTCTGATCGGAGAGGAAATCGGCTCCGGTGGCAGCGACCACCAAGCAATCTCTGCGGTTATCACTGTTGGAGATGATACCTCAGCTGGTCCCTCCGCAAGGAAAGCAAAGTCCTTGCACTTGCCATGTCAGACCCCGGCACAGGGATCCACTTGCTGGAATGAAGTTCAATGGGCCATGACGAATGGCATTCAAAGCCATCCTGAGTGGTATCCAGGCCTCACAGCCAACAGTCCCCGAGAGCAGTTTCAGGAGGCGGGTATCAAACAAAAACTACCGAATTCATGGTTGGGTACTCATTGAGTGCCAAAAAGGGTTGGCGTTTTGCACCCCAACTGTACCCACGTGAAGGTGGTCCATCAAAGCAGTGGGAAATGTCCTTTACCTTGCGGAGTCCTTGGTGCTAGCCTGGGATCATCCTCAGCTTTGGGCGCCAGCTTCTCGGTGGCCGTGTTGCACGAAGCTCGAGGCTCCGAGGGCTGTCTACTGGAACCTCAGACAGAATATGAGGCAAGGTGGGTGTGTTATCGTACAAAAACTGGGCACAAACAAACCAAAGTGGAACAAGACCTATTCTAGTTGATGATGTTGATGGGTTCAGGGATTTTCTCTAAAATGGGATAGGTGAGAGGTTGAGCCACCAACAAGTACTGCGCGATGTTGTGTACGCGCTTACGGACGCGTTCGGACACGTTTTGACTCACCAAGGTGGATGGCTGGAGCGAGGTCCGAAAGGGCGTGGCCGATCCACGTGTTTGCTGCCAACTCTGCCAAGATCATGGTGGCTGTAGGGCATGGCTTTGGTCCGAGTGGTCTGATGCAGCCCATGGCATGGCATGTATCCTGAAAGGGGGACAGGTGAAAAGCAAGAGATACAAGGATGGCAGCGTGTCAGGCCTCCCAAAATCAGAGGCCATCAAAGAAGCAGAAATGGCAGTGGCCAAGACGGCGTGAGAAACGACACTTGGGCGAAGCCCATGGCGTGAGACATTTTTGTGCAAAGTTTCCAGACTTTGTGCAGTCGCACCAACTGGTGGGCTGTGCTGTTGGTTTAATCCGACAGAAAATCGTGACTATCCGCACAAAAGTATGTGTACATTGCAATAAATGCTGCAATTCTGCGATTCACTTATTTCCATTAAAGTCCATGTTGATCGATCATGATGATTGATTTTGATTGAACCATGACCCAGCATAAATGCATGCTCCCTCGGATCATGCTTCAACCTGGACTCGGCCAATGGCAGGATGCTGGCTCAGCCGCTCAGCCCTTTGGTGGCTGAATGAACGCGCACAGCCAGTGAAGGATGGAGGCGGTGCGGGTTGGCCGTATACTTCCCTGACTCCACATCGACTGTGACTGGACGTAGGTAGAGCAGGTCTAGGTGGTTGGTTTAGCCTAGGCCTAGGTCCCACCCATGGAGGCGATTTCAGCGGCGCACTGAAACTAAGCTGTCAGGTTTAGCTAGGTATTGAAATGTGTTTTTTTGTTTCGCAATGTATTGCAAACTGTCAAACTCTTTGTTTTCTACGGAGACAGAGGTGGAGGTTTTGCTCTGTCCAGTGATGTCCTTTTTGACATCTTATACTACCCCCAGATGAGTTAGGAGTTGTGCCAATTATGAGATGGATTGTTTGTTGCACAAGTCCTGACACATGTGTCTGAGAGAAGTTGACTGAACACATTCAGGAGGCACATGAGATAGGAGTTATGCAGGTTAAAACGTTAAAAAAACATCGTGTAATAGCGTGTTTATAATGCCCCATTTAATTTAGATAGCGTTTCATCATTTGTAAAGCAACGAAATTCATATTTATATATTTGCTAAAACAAGCGAAATGCAACTAATACTAACTGTTATGTTCGAGTGTCCCCCTTTGGAATACACCAATTCAAAAAGATAAGCAAAGCTCCTCTCGGCTGATCTTGATTTTGATGGTAGATGCATGATGAGATGGGAGTTGTGGACACACTTGGAAACACATGAGATGGAACTTCGAAATTTGCACAGTCATTTCACAAGTCCCAACTCACTACGGAACTAAGCCGCGCACCATTTGGACATTTGGGAACCAGCCCAGTAGTTGGCCTTGCTCAAAGGGTCAGAAGTCCAGGCTTGCACCCTTCTGGGAACGAACTATCCCCTAATTGCACTAGGTTTGCTTGTGTGAGCACCAAAAGGGATGGCTCAAAGTGTGGGTTTGGGGGAGGAGACCGCTGCGCTCAGCACCCGGAGACGAGCCGTCATCGCTTGGGGATGTGGAAACCCTAGAGCAAAGTATTGAAACCTCAGCACCTAGAGGTTGCCACAGCGTGTTGAAAACTGTTGGATTTGGAGTTTATGGTTCAGATAGCCACAGTCAAATCTACAGGAAGGCAAGTTTCAAGGCCCCTATAGCTTGAAGCCTCACAGGATTGAGTGTATCAAGTGGTTTATGGGTCTCTTCCATAACCTTTGGCCTGAGACTATGGTGTGTTTGATGTGAAATGATTGGGCCACATTCGCATGCATCAATCAAGTTTGCCTTCATTCCTAATTTCCTGTAGAACTGCATCGCTTACCAACCAACATGATCGTCCACCATAGCTGCTTTATGTTCCTATTTTTCCTCTACCAATTGTTTGGGGATTTTGCTGATGTTCGCAGTATAACACGCAAGTCAACTGGAAAGGATAGTGTGCGCCAATTGGCTGGTGCTTGTCCCAAACAAAGGGATTCCCAACCTCCCGCTGGGAAACCAACCAAAAAGATCCCAACCGATACTTTAACAAACTTCAGAGTAAAGGGACCCCAAACATGGGTGGGTGGAGAGGTCTTGCTTGCCTCAAGCTTTAGATGGGTTGGCTGCGACGAATGAAAGGTGGATTCGTTGAAACCTGGAGAAAAGGTTGGTGCTTGTCGGAGTAGTAGCTCACGCGGACTAGACTCCACTCCTGCGGGAGGTTGTGTCCTTCCTGAGAAAGTAAAGGACCGTCTAGATTGGAACACCGAGAGATTGTGATCTTCAACCGCACATGCTTGAACATGCTTGTGAACTTTCCACAACGTTGGCACCGCATTCCAGGTCCATTGGCCCTGGCGCACAACAAGTTACCATTCTCCCCAATGTTACCATCACGCACTGTCACACCGTCAGACTGTGAAGACAAAGGAAGAACAAGGTCCTCTCCGGAATGCCATTGAGAGAGGACTTGCGCTGTCGCCATGCATCGACAAGAAAGGACTGCAAAGTCACAATTTCAACATCGCTAAGTGCACAGGAACTAGGAACAACTGCAGCGTAGGTCAAACAAGTCGGAAGATCTGCAAAAGAACAAATCACTCGCCAACAACGTCGATCGCTGGTCCTGGTACTGAACACAATGCATGAAACACGCTCAATAGACTCCCGACATGTGAACACGGTCTGGTGTCAACAGACCTCCTGCTAGGATGGCACGGAGGACACCAAGCTTAGCACGTGCGTCGACCACTTGAACATAATCCAAGCTTGAACCCTGTCCATCCGCCTGTTTTTGAAGCTTGTACCAACGCATGGTCCTTGCTCTATCGACTTGCGAAGCATAATGAGGCATAATGACTGCGCTGACGACACAACCAAAGGTGGGTCCGCCAAGACTCCGCCAAGACTCACCATCTTCATTGAAACCGGAGCAATCCCACACCACAAAGCACAAGGCACAAACAAGTCACTAAAGCTAGCATAAAAAAACACGGGAACCCCAAGGAAGCAAGATGCAAAATAATCACTGAAACAGCTGTACCTTCTTGGCCCTTTTGCAAGCCAAGTTTTGGAGAGCACGTCACGTTCTTCCACAGCAGGCAGTTTGAGAAAGACACTGAATATGTATTTGGAAAGAAAGCTTTTGAGAAGAGACACCGAAAGGGCTGTGGCACAAGAAGGTCTGAGAAGCGATGTCTTGAGAACGTTTAGAAGAAACGGTTGCCAGTTGGGAAGGTAGAGACATTTCGACAAATTTTAAGATACTGATCCTTATTACGTCCTCTTTTATATGTGGTTTACAAAACTGCCAGTGTGTACGCTCACCTGACTCCTACACACCCATCTGGCTATTGATAAGTTCTTGTATTTTCTGACTTTGGTTTCTATTCACGCAATCGACTGACCAAAACGCTTATTTGACAAGCATAGCCTATACCCCAAAACTGTGATTTTAGCAGGCGATCGTAGCAAATAAAACAAGAAGAGGGTTTGCTTGGAGAGACTGATTGAGAATCAAGAGTTTGAATTGAGATGGAAAGAAGGTTGTGCAAGGTTTGACGGGAGAAACCTCTTTGGTGAGATGTGTTTAACCAAGAAGGGCATTAGTCGTCAAATATTACATGCAAGTGTTTCACTTGTTTACTCCGTTTCATGTGGGGGGGCCATTGCGCAACTAAGCCGAGCATTGCACAGAGCACCCAGAATGTCGATGACTAGGGTTTGGGTTTGGCGTGTTTTCTGTGCATGATGCATTTTAAAGCAGCTTGGGGATAGAGATATGAGAAGAGAAGCAGCACAGGCCTCTCTCTAAACAAAACTGGTGACAAGACAACCTTTGCACAAACAGCGGTTGAAATTGAAATGATTTCTGACACCTTTTGCCCCTCAATCTGTGGTAGGAACGGCGCATGGCGCCGGCGCCTGGAAGCAATCAAAAGAAAGAGACTGCAGGAGGTAAACCTTAACTCGTGGCGAACAAAAGGAGCGGTTGTTCACCTTTGCGAGCTGTGAGGGACTTAGAGGCATTGCAGAATTGCAGGACGGCAGAAATCTCTACAAGCTGTTGTTGGCGTGTTCGTTCACACAAAAAGGGAGTCACCGGCTCACAGCCCAAGGTCACATCTCGAAAGGATTTGTAAGTAGTTCACCCACCTATGGAGTCGTGACCCTCGCCCCAGAACAGCGTATACTTCTCTGAAGCCCTTGCGGTAAAAGGTCGCAAAGTACAGGTTGACAGACAGTGGATGCACTGCAACGCGTCGTGAGGAGTCACATCAGAAATCACTATCCGAAAGGTCCCCAGCTACTTATATCGATACATGAATTCATGCAATTAGGAGCGAACATGGTAGAAGTCGAGGGCTTACAAAAAGATTCGGCCTTCCAGCTGTTAGACATGCACAGGGCAGCTAGGCCTTTGTTCTGCTATCTAAATTGGCACGCCCATCTAAAAGAATGATTGTGGTTGCGAAGTGGAAGTTTAATCAGCACTCAATGCTCCTTCAACTCAAGAATTGCCTGCAACATTGTCGTATGAACATATGTTCGTCTACGATTCTACAAAGCATAATATTCACTCATTTTGGTTTAATTAATCTCCCGAGGCACGATGAATACTACTAGGAAAGAAATATTTCAAGTGATTTGTATACAATAGCTTAGATATGTAGTGTTATTTGAACTTTAAAATGCTTAAGTGAAATATATCTATGTATATAATGCTTTAAAAAATTAAACAACAAATAGTTATAGGGCATAAGTGAAAGCAAAAATTAGAGTAAAGCAATAGTATATAAATACCAATACTTTGTAAAACATTATGGAGCCAGGAAGCAATAATATTGTAACAATGTCATAAGAAGCACCGAAGCACATAAGAATAGACAAATGACAAGGCCTTTTCGTAACATATTCCACCCGTAATAACCACCTTCATAACAAACAGCAAAGTATGAGATTGGACCAAACTAAAGATAACAAATACTATAGTACCATAGAAAGCCAAGAAACACTCCAAGAAACGTTGATTTACAAGGAGCCAAATTACACAAAAACTTCAATAGACCATTTCGCCCACACAGATCACCACAAAATACACCAATGATTTGGACTTGACTAAGATACGCAACAGTCATATAATGAAACGTGAAATGCCTACAAACCATGTATATACATGCATGCATACATATATATATATATGTGCATTTATACATACATCCATATGTCTATCTCACCATCCATCCGTCTATACATCTATGCATGTCATGTCATTTCATGTAAGGAAAAAATTCAACTAAACCAGCAAACCACCAAATATGAATTTTGCCCACAATATTTCAAGTCGAGGTGCGTTCGTTTGTTCGGGGTCACTTGTAG